TTTTTTTTTTTTTTTTTTTTTTTTTTTTTTTTTTTACTTGAAAATAAGTAATAGTTACACCCCGAGTTAGCGAGGGTTATGTGGCATACACGATTGCGTAGCACGAGTGGATGTCACATAACCCTCAATGACGAGGGATCTATCTTATTTAGACCACGGTCCATTAGCGGGTTATAACGCATTCATGCGAGAAGTGTGGTTACGCGAGTTACACCACGTCAGAGTCTTTTGTTCTTTTACTTCCACCGTGGTCTAATTAATTTGACTCTATTCCAGTCCAACGGTCCTTGTTCATCAAAAATGTCACTGAAAAGTAGAGGTTTTACCTTGGGACATTTGTTCCGCAGCAGTCCCAGCTAGTTGTGGCTCAACTGAGTCACACGTGGTCAGTGTTGACGGTTGATTGAATACTGTTCGAGCGATGTCATGGCATGTTTCGCTTGGGTGACAGTGTATTATCTCAGACATAGCTAGGTCATTCTCTAGGACCCCACGTGCAGTAACAACGTATACATCCACCGGAGCTACAAAAACTCAATATACCAATAGTGACGGCAAATGTGAATAAAAGGATTGCGTCTTTGACATCGCTTTGTACAGGTACAGTAATACATTGTCATAACGGACATAACATAACGTTTGAAACGAAAATTTTGAATTAGAAAAAAAAACCTCCGTGTACATAACCCCCGTGTGCCGTATACCAGATGACCGTCTATGCATGTGAGGTAAACTCATGTTCTCTTTGTAGTGAGTTTTCAATAGTTATGGCAATTTTTACCTTGATACCTTATACTAGTTGAACAAAAACAATGGCCTGCAGCCTGTATTATTACTTAAACCACGGCTAGCACGTATAACAAAAGACTCGACAAAAGATTCACTGGCTAATAACGGACCGGGATTGAATCCCCGAAGAATGCCTACGGGCCGAAAGCTGGGATTATATATAACATCTGTAAAGTAGATCTTCAGAGATGTATCAGTAATAATACTAATTTTGAGTATTCGACTTACAAGCACGTCATGTACGAGTGAGTTCCACGGTTTGTTGCACTCCCGTTACTCACTAGCTAATAACGGCCCAGTATCTGTATATCGGGGCCTTATAGCGCCCACCACGGATCAGACAACAATGAAAATAAGCCGTTTCCCAAACTGTAAATTATTATTGTATTGTATATGTAAAATTTATAGAAAATAAACAAGTTAGCTCTAAAAAGATTCCAAGTGCTAAGGCGATGATTGAGAAATTCACGAAAGGAGTGACTTGAGATCCAAGTTAGCACTTAAAAATTTGTATGTCTCACTGAGTCACTACAGAAAGAAAATAAGCGTTTAACCTTGAGAACGGAGGACTTACGAAAACAAAAACCTTTCGTAACAATATGAAGCCTGAACACAGCGCGAAGACTGAAATCGTCATAAACATATTCTTTAATTCCTTAAGATACTCCCTTTTATGTTCAGACCCAGATATATGTCTGTCGTACATATAGTCGTCACTTTCGTCTGTCGTCGCCATAGTCACTTTGCTACTGTGCACTTTCAGTAAAAACAAGATAAGTGGAAAACCGTTTTACTCTCTGTATTCAAATTTATAGAACTGGTGAATATTCATAAATTAAGGTCGAGTTCGAATCAGCATGATTGGGCCTTTTTTTTTTCAAAAGTTGTGCTGTTTGACGTCTTGCATTTTTTGTGAAATTTTTCACATATTAGCATTTTTAAGGTATGACTTTAAACTTCATGGGCTTGAAGACCTTTAATAGTCAATTTTTCTTAATAATAATAATAATAATAATAGTATATGACCAATGTGATTTTCTTTTAAGAATTAAGTGCTTGCTTTTTGTTGGCCCTACTTTGTCTCAAATGAAATACGTTCTCAATACTCAAATTATGCTTTGGATTAGCATGACATCCTGTTTGGTCTGTGTGGTCAGAGGAACACCAAGTTTAATAAATTATTTTTGTTTTTTTTATTTTAGTTTAGGATCAGAACTTAGAGGGCGATGAAGAATTGCAAATGTGTATCCCTGTTAGCTGCTGTCTCTATAACACTCCTGTGGATGCCATATAATACACGCTTTGGTTTCCCAGGCACTGTGATTGTCAGATCTCTGATATCACGCAGCATAGGTGAAAATGATGCTCGAGTTAGGACACAACAGCCGCAGTTTGTCTACCTCGTCCAAGGCGCATCAAGACACCCTATTCCCAATCTCAACGACACGCCGAATAGAGAAATTATATGGTTGACCTACAGAGACAAAACGGGCGACATCTACTTTCCGAAGAGCACTCACGCCACAGGTCGTAACCGGCTGCTTTGGGAAGCAATTGAACGTGCATCTAAGAGGAATGACGGTGGCTACTTGTACTACNAAACGAGGCGCGATACCCGGATGACAGGTAGGCTTACAAAATTTGTGATGGGGTATGATACTCTTTTATGCGATCTGACACACACCTTGAAAACGGGTAGTGTGGTCAGATAAACCGGTTTATACTGGACCCGTAGGTGCTGAGTCTGGTAGTTGGGAAGGCCTGTTATTTCTGGACGATGATTTGTTGCTCAGTAATGAGAATGATTCGAAGCGCTGGTGGCGAGAAGATTTACCAAGCAACCCTTTTGATCGATTTGAACTCTTTTTACTCGATTTCCAACCGGCAGTTGGGTTTACGAGATTTGAATTTTACATCCATGATTCTCCAACCCCAGTGGGGGTGAAATACCAGGTCGATGCTATTTTCAACGGGTTCCACCGCCACACAATTTCCTTCATGTTGCCCTACATAAGCGATTTAGATCACATATCATGGTGGTTTGCTCAGTGGTTTGTCATTCACATATCTGCGATGTTTTATAATTCAAATCGTGTCCTTTGCAACGCAGTTTATGCAAATAACTCAAGATATCACGGGGACAATAAGTTGAAGGGGGCCTACACCGATTCTGGCGATTTCCGTATACCGCGTGATTATTTTCGAACATGGATAGACAAGAACAACAAAGTTAAAACCGCCAACGGGGAAAATATTAACTTGCTTCGGACCTTTAAGAGACAGGCTTTGTATTTGAACATTCCAGGAAATGCCAGCAGAAAAAACAGTATGGAATACAGGGTTTCTACAAAGTTTATAACCACTGCATTCGATAAGTCCAACCCGGGCATTCAAAAGATTTTGCGCTGGAGAAATTTACCAAAAGTAAGGAATATACTGTATGGGAGTGAGAAGGATGAACCTGACTTCTTTCCAGATGTTTTCCCCTTGCACTAATCCCCTTCTTACCTCGTGTTCTTCGTATTGTACAAGGAAAACAGTTAGTAGTCACATTCAATGCTAGACCCAGGGTTTTTCTCTAAGGGGCGGGGTGGGGGGTTAAAGAATGGAAAAATTTCTTGTTTCAGAAATATCAAAAATCATTCAAAAATGATGATAATAACCAGGGATGGAAATGGTGATTCGCACAGTCTAGTAAAGATGACTGGTGAATTTTACCTAATGCGGTGAAAATTAATTTTGAACACGAAAACATGTTTATAATATGCTCTCAACGGTTTTTGGACAAGATATACCTTGGTGCTTTAGGGAAAACCGCTGTAATTTTCAGGGTGCATTTATGTATTAATTCAGGCCCGTAGCCGGGGGAGGGGGGGGGGGGTTCGAAAGAGCCGCCCCTTTTGCTGGGTAATATTTGATCCAGGTTCATGAAGTTTTTATGGAAAAAGGTCCACTTTTTCAGAAAAAGAACCCCCCTTTTAAATTTGCTGGCTACGGGCCTGTAATTAATCTATAAAATCATTTAATCCATGTTAATTTTATTTAAATATATTCATATGTAATTTTTGTTTATATTTATTTTCACCTATATGAAAGTATAATGCAAATTGTACACATTAAATGATGGATAAACATACATTATGTATCATTCACTCCTGCATGATTTCAACCAATAGGAAAAATTATTTCAATGGAGAGTGGAGAGTATGGCATTGGAATTATCAATACTTATCAACTGCGCCCCAATATAGAGGGATGATAAAAAATAAAGGATTTATAACCCCCGCTGACGAGGGGTCTATCTTATTAAGACCACGGTCCATGAACGGGTTATAACGCAATCATGCGAGACGTGCGGTTATGCGAGTTACACCACGTCCGAGTCTTTTGTTGTTCACTTACACCGTGGTCATATTAATTTGACTCTATTCCAGTCCAACGCTCCTTGTTCATCAAAAATGTCACTGAAAAGTAGAGGTTTTACCTTGGGACCTTTGTTCCGCAGCAGTCCCAGCTAGGTGTGGCTCAGCTGAGTCACACGTGGTCAGAGTTGACGGTTGATTGAATACTGTTCGAGCGATGTCATGGCATGTTTCGCTTGGGTGACAGTGTATTATCTCAGACATAGCTAGGTCATTCTCTAGGACTCCACGTGCAGTAATAACGTATACATTCGCCGGAGCTACAAAAACTCAATATACCTATAGTGACGGCAGGTGTGAATTAAAGCATTGCGTCTTTGACATCGCTTTGTACAGGTACAGTAATACATTGTCACGGGTTAACATAACGTTTGAAACGAAAATTTTGAATTAGAAAAACACCTCATCTGTATGACAAGTACTACATAACCCCCGTGTGCCGTGTGTGCCAGCTTACCGTCTATGATTATAATTAAAGACCCGTTCAAATGATTTAATAATAAATGTAATAATATATGACCAATGTGAATTTCTTAATGCTATTGTTGGCCCTACTTTGTCTCAAATGAAATACGTTCTTATTATTTAAAATGTGCAGAGGATTAGCATAACGTCCTTTGTGGTCAAAGGCACATCAAGGTTAATAAATTATTACAATCTTTTTTTATATTTGTTTAGGACCAGAATATAGAGGGCGATGAAGATCTGCAAATTCGTATTCTTGTTTATTGTTGTCTCTGTGATAGTTCTGTGGGTGCCATATACGGCACGCTTTCGTTTCCCAGAGACGGTGATTGGCAGATTTCTGGTATCAAGTAGCACAGGTCCAAATGATTCTCCAGTAAGGACAGAACAGCCACAGTTTGTCTATCTCGTCCAAGGCGCATCAAGACACCCTATTCCCGGTCTCAACGCCACACCGAATAGAGAAATCATATGGCTGACGTACAGAGACAAAACAGGCGACATCTATTTTCCAAAGAGCACACACACCGAAGGTCGTAACCGTTTGCTCCTAGAAGCAATTGACCGTGCATCTAAGAGAAAGGAAGGTGGCTTCTTGTACTACGTATTTTTGGATGATGATTTGTTGCTAAGTAATGAGAATGATGAGAAATGGTGGTGGCGCAAAGATTTACCAAGCAACCCATTTGATCGATTTGAACTGTTTTTACTCGATTTCCAACCGGCAGTTGGGTTTCCAAGTTTTGGTATTAATATTCACGATGCTCCAGCCCCAGTTGGGGTGATATACAACTTCGATGCTATTTTCAACGGGTTCCATCGCCACACAATTTCCTTCATGTTGCCATACATTACCGATTTAGATCACATATCATGGTGGTTTGCTCAGTGGTTTGTCATTCACATGTCTGCGATGTTCTATAATTCAAATCGTGTCTTTTGCAACGCAGTGCACGTAAACAACTCAAGATATCACGGGGACAATAAGTTGAAGGGGGCCTACACCGATTCTGGCGATTTCCGTGTACCGCGTGATTATTTACGCACATGGATAGACAAGAACAACAAAGTTAAAACCGCCAACGGGGAAAATATTAACTTGCTTCGGACCTTTAAGAGACAGGCTTTGTATTTGAACATTCCAGGAAATGCCAGCAGAAAAAACAGTATGGAATACAGGGTTTCTACAAAGTTTATAACCACTGCATTCGATAAGTCCCACCCGGGCATTCAAAAGATTTTGCGCTGGAGAAATTTACCAAAAGTAAGGAATATCCTCTATGGGAGTGAGAAGGATGAACCTGACTTCTTTCCAGATGTTTTCCCCTTGCACTAACTCATTTCTTACCGCGTGTTCTTCGTATTGTACAAGGAAAACAGTTAGTAGTCACATTCACTGCTGAACCCAGGGTTTTCTTCTGAGGTGGGGGGGGGGGTACATTAATAAAAATTCCCTTGCTTTGGAAATATCAAATGGAAGACGAGAGGAAATGTCAATAATGGAAATAATGGAAATGGTGATTCGCACAATCTAGTAAAGATGGCTGTTGAATTTTACTTGAGGCGGTCAAAATAAGAAAATTTGAACACGAAAACATGTTTATACGATGTTCTGCGCGGTTTTTGGACAAGATATAACGTGGCACTATAGGTAAAACCGCAGTAGTTTCCAGGGTGGATGTATTTCTTTATTTATACTTTTATTTGCTTAATCATTTATTCCCTTTTTTATTTTTGTTTATATTTATTTTCAACTATATAAATATATAATGCAAATTGTATACATTAAATATTGGAAAAAACATCCAATATGTATCTCTCACTCCTGCAAAATTTCAATATTATTTTAATGGAGAGTATGTCATGGGAATTATCCATGCTTATCAAGTGCACCTCAATATAGAGGGTTGATCGAAAAATAAAGGATTTATTTTTCTTATTTTTATTTGATTTATTTATATACTGATTCTTAACGCACACTGTATCAACGTATCAAGTTGGTCTAAATTTAATTTTAAAAACTGCAATTTGATTTAAATTTGGAAGTTTCTAAAACGAAATTTGGCTGTGAAATCCCTTCTTTGACATCTTGCTAGCATGGAGAAATTGTCGTATTCAGTAAGGAAAGCAGTTTTAATAACAAAAGTTTTAAAAATAACAACCCTCTTGGATAATATTTCCAAGTTTTAATACAAAAAAATTAAACTGCACTTAAGGGGTATTATGAGACGCACGTTTATTTCACTGACACATTTTATCTTCAACCTGAAGTCAATTTGTTCACAATGCCTGGTAGCGAAGTTTTTTTTTTTTTTTTGTTTGTTTTTTTTTTTGCATAATACTTCTCCTTGTTTCCTGTCAGACATTGTACTGTATTCTGTCACCACAGTATGGATGAGAGTGAATTTAAGATTTTATAAATGGTAAAATATTATTTAAAAAACATCAAATAAAAAATGATGATCTTTGGCGAAAAACGTAACCGCTTGATTCCATATTAGACACTGAATAAATCCCCCGAGGGGATTACGCAACAAGCATTCAAGTGGGTCGGCGGTATTCGATCTGAGGATTTCTTACACCCCATTTCCATAGATTAGATCGACCTACTGTAGATCGACCTAACTCCCTGGGGGTTCACGCTAAATAGCTGTCAGCCGGGCGGACACGAAAGTTAATTATCCCCTTACAGCTTGTAGTAGGCGGGACGGACATTTAAGTCGGATTATCTGAAAGTAATCTAGTGAGACTCCCCGCGGGGATAGATCGATCTAAAATCTATGGGAATAGAGCCTTAGTCCGCTGCTCTGAATGCGCTCTAGCAGCACAATTTGGGTCAAGTTTAATTACAGACTACAATCAATCTTATTTCCTGAATACTGGTGATATCGCTGGAAGCGACCTATGCATCTCTCTATTTGGAACAAGGTCTTTTCAGCCGATGGTATTCGTAAAATTGCTTCAGATACGGGACTTGTACATGTACATGTACAAAATTGGCAACTTGAACGTGCTAGTGGGCCTACATGAAGATCTAAACGTGGTTACTTAAAACAAACGAGGAAATTGACGCACAAATTTAAGATCCTGTTCTAAGTGTCTGAGTGACGGGAACCCGTTTCCCATTAACAGTAAAAAGGAATTGCTATTCTACATTGCACAGGTGATTTTCGTCCCATATACTAACTCGGATACTTCCGGCTAATTCTAATCTGCACTAATTATAAAGGACCCCGGGTTTTCATTCCAAAGTCTACTGCCCCTGTCACGCCGGAAATAAGGCGAATAAGTCGCGTGCGACCCATATCACAGAACGCCGTGATTCGTCTATAATTTCTTGCGAGTGGCGCGGCATACCAACGCAGCGGCTCTAAATTTGACGTAGGCTGAATAAATGATTTAAAACGAACTACTTTCATGCTTGTTCCGTAAGAGTCATCATTCTACGTAGCTGTCAAGTACTTAAACGGAGTTGCCAAGTCCCGAGAGTTAGTTTAGAAAGGCACGGCTCAAGATTACTTTGTGCCTAGTACACATTACTAACGGCTTGAAACGCACAATGGCGCATCATTCAGGTTGAGATTATCTATAGTATTTATCAGAGCAAGACATATACTGCAGCTTTGCCACATTCTGGGAAAACAAATTGGGAGGTGATTATAGCAGACGTTGACAGCGGTGCCACACGCGGTGTATTAGTCCGGTACAGGGTCAGCGTGCTTCAGCCACATTGTTGGGCCAGATACCCACTGCCATGGGTCCCAATATTGCGGTATTCGTCAGGCTGTGGGTGATACTGGAAGCAGTGAGTACCCTTATGTATTGCTTTCTCTCTCTCTCTCTCTCTCTCTCTCTCTCACACACACACACACACACACACACATACACACACGCACACACACACACACACACAAGGGCTGCACGCGCACACACAGGACTGTTTTAAATTCCGCATGAAGTACCTTTTTTAGTTTATTTAAGCGGAGTTGAACAACTAACAAGGAAAAAAGAGGGCTGTTTTGGTAGGTGCTGACAAACTACTTAAGCCTGCAATTGATACACGGCGTTACTTTCAATCTGCTAATGGCGTTTTAATCATTTTATTACGCTTTTCCCCGTCAGGTATTTCCGAAACGTAATTCATGTTCACAATGTAAACATCAACTTCACCTTTGGATGCATCAGGCACGTACGTGCGTGGCCTTCATCAAAGATTTTCCCACGATTTCCCCAGGTCTTTGTATAGATGCTTTGGTGGGGCCTGATAGCGCAATAACGTTTTAAAGACAGATGGATTTGAATTGGAAGCGCGTGTGCTATGTTTCCATTACCCACAATGTAGGGCACGCAGCAAATCGCTGGGACATGAATCTGTATGCCTCGGTGATGTATGAATACGTCTGCAGCGTCAGAATAGAAAAAGGAAACGCGTTGATAAACTGCTGCGCCGCAGATGTTTTTTGTTTCTAAATCTCTGACTTACGCTGCGAGCGTGAACCTCCAACCCAGTGACTGCAAATCGAACGTAAAGCACTCATGGGACGAAGAAGTGGAGAGAGTATCGCCGCGTGTTAACTGATCCAATTTTCTTATTTGACTTTTTTGATGACAGAACCCTCCAATCGCTCAACAGCTCCAGGCTGCTAAATGACTCATTATTTACCACAAAAGAAAAAAGCGGTTTGGAAAATAAACGAGACATTAAAAACTCTGTATGCTCATTTGTTTGCTTTGTTTCTCATGTACCTTATACGACCAAACAACTGGCACCATTAATTCCCGGGCTTTATATTTCATAAACAAAAGCTGCAACTAAGCATAACCTTAATTGACCTTGTTAAAGAATTGGAACTGAAAAGAACAGAGCTTTTTCCTTCTGAAATCGGTTGATTTTAAGCCACAAATAAAGGTATTGAAAAGGGTACAATTACAGGCACCCATTATTTCCTGCTTTGTAGGAAAGTTTATATTATAGCGTCTTGTCGTGTGATGTGTGATTTCATAGTTTCACTGTACTAAATCAAAGTGATCAATTTTAACAATATACCTGTGCTAGGCAAAATTTGTTCTAGGCCGTTTCGTATAGTATAAAAACATAGTTAATTAGCATTTCATAGGAAATCATTATATGAATATTTGTGTGTGAGTGTGTGTGTGAGAGAGAGAGAGAGAGAGAGAGAGAGAGAGAGGGAGGGAGGGGAGTCGGTATAAGTAGGCGGCAAGCACTGCTCCCTATGGTGATATTGCGGTGGTTACCGTGTTTGCGGTCAGACAATTCCTGGTTGAACACATGTGGGATGGTCAAATTTGATTCATTAAAATATTTCAAATATTTGGTGAGTTAACATCACATCACCCTCTCGATGTATTTTTCATGTGAGTCACATATTCATGGAATGAAATTGATACATTCGGAGAAAGTCCTGTTGTATCAGTTTTATCGTTTATAAAAAGCACTTCTGCATAGGCCTATGCTTCTTTGTTTCCTGACGCGTTAAGACAGGTTCGCTTTTCTTCAGCTCCTGATATTCTTCGAAGCAGTGAATTACAAGACGCTGAAGGACTCCTATAGCACCAAATAAAACATGAAAGCATGTTAAAGAGTAGGTCTCTTTATTTAGTGGCATTGGTTGTATTCTCTGGTAAAAACGGCCGTGTCTGATTATAACAGACTAGCTGTCGAATCAAATGTTTTCTTTTAGGTTAAAGGTGACATTATCTCACATAATGCTTGTAACTTTCACCAAGGAAATAGTTTTTTTTTCTAGATGGCAGCGTTGATTTTTTTTTTTTTTTGTCTAGGTGCTAGTGTGTTGAGGGGTTAGATATCGCAAAGCGTTCCTATAAATTTCTATGAGACTTGCAGGATAGAAAATCGTGCAGGGAGCAAAAAGTTATTGCGTCTTAAACTAGAAGTATGGAACATTTGGTTATGTTTTCCCGTTGGGTAACTGCCTTTTTCCTTTGGGTGCGCTCCTGGATTTTTCTCTTATTATAACAAAATTTGCCTTGTTGTCGGAACACAACTTGGGTCTTCCATGCCTTTCACAGATAATAAAGATGAGATACAACAACAGTTGCTCTCACTTGATCCGTAAAATGAAGATGGGCATAATTTATTGCTGAAAGTTTTCTTTCTTTGTTTCCAGATAACTTTGGTAGCCGCAGCTTCGACGTACTCCCATAGGTCATATGTCAAAGTTTCCCGGCGCTTTCACCAACATCGCCGTATAAATGACCATTCCTCTGGTCAAACGGTGTCACAGAATGCTGTCACGAACTCACAAGTCCCCGTAGCACCAGAGCCTGTCCAGCACGTTCATCTCGACCCATGTCAGGTATGTACAGGAAGTCGTGGGCTTAAACTATTGATTAAGATAGCACAGGCCCCCTCGTTCAGAAAAAAAAATTTAAGGCAGTTCTAGTACATGTACTAGGGGCTAACATCTCTGTTACCCAGTGGCGGATTTCGGCCCTGGCCCCCCCTTTCGATTTCTGAAAAAATAACACCAATGGTCCCCTCTTGAAATTAGAATTTTGATTAGCTGAATCATAGTTCTAAACCGTACCAAATGGCACTGTTCGCCCTCTAAAATACCAAAGTTTTTTTGGGTTCCTTCACGGGCCCAAACCCCACGCCATGGGGGGGGGGGGGGGGGGCACGGTCGGCTTCGCATCTGCATCCTGTCATTCCTTTAAAAAATTGGTGGTGATGGGTGGGGATGGGGGGGGGGGGGGTGAATGGCCCTCCGAGGCCGCCTGGATCCACCATCTTAATCACTATCAGACTGCATTATAAAAAGCTTTCTCTGCTCCAGGTGACAGTCTGTCCAGAGGGGCACATGTGTGTGGCTATTGAATCACAGTGTAACGGAGGCGAGCTGGTCGCGGATTGCCAGCGTAAGTATGCACCAATACTCCCTTTATTATGAGTAATGCAGTTTGACAGTATGAGAGAGAGAGAGAGAGAGAGAGAGAGAATGAGAGAAAGACATCAACCGCGGGTGGGTGGGGCACAGCTATCATTTTTATTGAGCTGCCCCCTTTCTCCCTCCCAAACATTCAGTATAGCTAGTTAAACCAGGCAAAATAGTTTTTTCATCTCTCAATATCATTGAAAATTTCCTCGTCTAATGTGTTGCATTTGACAAGCGCTATAATTTATACGGCTCCCCCTTAGTGAGAGAGAGAGAGAGAGAGAGAGAGAGGGGGGGTCACTGAGATGTTTGTTATACGATCCACCATTCTTTTGACGCTGTTTTATCTCGCTTATCATATTTTATTGATCTATGTATTTGACAAGCCTCATGTACACAGCTCTCTTTTTTTTATATCCCTGACAGGTGGCTGGCAGTACAGACTGGTTGAGGGGGGGGGGCGTTGGGATGGCTCCCACTGAAATTATCACGCCTTGGCAGAACCAGAATCTTTCTGATAACTGCTGAAATAGTTCAATCTCAGATCTCTGTTGAAAGGGGAATATTTAGTACAGCTGGAGCTCAGCCAAAACGGCTCAGAAACTCGACTTCGCTTTCCTAAGTGCTTAATTTTCAAGTTCATATAGCTTTCCAACAACTTCCTTATTTTCTGCAAGCCACGTTTCATATTGCCCCACGTGGCAAATAGCCGAGCACTTGAAAAGGAAGGGCTGAGCGTCCGTGGTAGAACACATTACATTGTAAATTACCACCCATCTGCTTTAAATATTGTCTTGGATCAAGTTCCAGTTAAATGTAACCAAAATGAATTAAATGTTCTCCCATTCACGGCCACTTAAGATACTGCATACGAAAACAGGCTATAACGTACCCACAAACAAACTCACGAAACAACGCGTTATCCAAGATACTTGTATCCTACCCATAACTTAATTAGTTGCCTATAGGGTTTTAATGTTTTTTTTTCTCTCGTTCTGCCTCTCAACAGTTTTCCGGATCAAAGAAAGACTCACATAAAGAGATACATACTGTAACTTAGAGAACTACAGTTCTCCCTGATAGACATCTCAACTGTCACTTAGCATGGAATACCCCGCCCCGCCCCGCCCCGCCCCCCATCAGTGACGAAGTACAAAGTGAATATCACTGGAGCTGTCAACCAAGTTGCGATATCACAGAACAACACACATTTTTGGATACATAAAGAGATGGGGAAAATAAATACTTTAAGAGGTGGGGCAATGATAATTCATTACTTGAACCCTGTCATTCCAGCCATGAAGGCGACAACCAATATTTGTCGAGAGCCGAGAGATAAAGGGGATGTCTTCTGTAACGGAAGGCACAGCCGCTGGTATTACGACTCGGAGATAGGACGCTGCAGACGTCTGCTGTATTCGGGCTGCGGAGGGAACAACAACAATTTCCCGTCTAGGGATATGTGCGAAAGAGCCTGCGTCCGAGGTAACGATTGTTGGACTTTTCCGATTGCGTTTGTTGCGATTTGGAATTTTTCTACTATCGCAATTGAGACGAAAACTTGCCCGAAACGATAGAATATTATAGTTGAATGAATTGCCACTTGCGCTGGTGAAAAAAGATGACAAATTGTGATTTCTAAAAAATTAACCCATTGATTCAGCTTCCACAACGAAGGGATAAAGTGATTAGGATAATTAGCATAGGGATAAATAAAGCAATGCACAGGCTTTCGTCAAATGAAACAGTCACTCAAAATAAATAAATAAATAAATAAATAAATAAACAGTTAAGAGATATAAAACGAAAAATCAGTTCTGACTTGACCATTTAAATGTAACAATGATATTATTCATTTTTCAGAGAAGGTATGTTGTTTTCGATCAGATCCCGGCCCCTGCAGAGCGAACATCCCCAGGTGGTATTTCGACTCGATAGATGGCGCCTGTAAGCAATTTACGTACGGCGGGTGTAAAGGGAACGGAAATAACTTTGAAACAGAGTTACAATGCCAGGGCCTGTGCACGTACTAAAATGGAGCAGAATAAGAATATTTCATCGGAGAAAAAGTGTTGTAAATATTCTGAGTTCTGAGTTCTGTGCAAATGCTGATGCAGTGGTACTCGTACTGCGTAAACAGCATTTCGTGAAGAACAGGGTTTTGGGGGTGGATTACCATCGGCTGTTCCCAGCGTCCTAAAAACAAGTGCCAAGCGTAAAAAGTGCAGGAATTACAAGGAAAAACATCTGCAGCCATTCATCACTTTAAAGAACGCATGTTCTCTTGTGGCGATGGTGGTTTTATACCATGATAAAAACCGTGGTTATTTGACATTCACGGAAAAGTGAGATACTTTGAACAGGAATATATATATACTGGACATGAAATCGGAAAGCGAATACAGAGAAAAACGTGATTTCTTTACATCATTAGTATCTAGTCGTATCGATCAAAATATTGCAATATTGCTCTTCTATAAAACTTTCTATAGAAGAAAACCGGGTTTTTGATAAATGCTATCAAATCTTGCAGAGGATATATATATATATATATTCACCAATTATATCTTATATAAAAGATAGCATGGATGCACTTTTTAAAAATTATTATTATTAGGCAGTGCCATGTAAAAAATGTTACAAGCTACATGTATTACTTAAATATGACTTCTTGAATAAGGCGTGGTACTGCATTTAGTGCGTATCTGAACTATAACAAAATCCACCGAGTAGTGCTGCAATACTGCCTGACTTCACGTGATATGACGTGCAATAAGCATTTTTTTTAATATAATGGAGTAATATCTACCTATATTAAAGCCGCAAATGTTGGGCACACGTTCGGGATTTACATGCACGACAAAAATGTCTTTGGATTTCTGTAACCGTGTGAAGGAATGGTCGCGTTTTGTATGCACTAACAAATTGCTACCCTGTCTATTTGCAAGGTTGTATAGGTTTTATAATGATTACATACAATAAAACTGGAGTAAATGCGCATTTTAGTTAATCAAATTTTTACCTCTCTTCCTGAAACATGCACATTTCACATTACATACCATGTCTCTCCTCCCGTCTTTGTAATAAACGTATCTACGCCTCCTATAATTTAAAATTAGGTGGTCCTGATTACATGAGAATGTATAATCATTCTTCGTTGCTTTCATGGACCAGCGACTTTTCGATGATCAGTGTTCTCCGAGTGACTTTTTGCCATGCTCATGTAAGCTACATAAATGTTCTAGTTGCCTTTCATATGCGACCACGTAGCAATCCCACGGCGTGTAGGTGAAAATCATTGAGATTACTTGCTCTCGTGGCAACATCCAAGGTATTATTTCTCTCTCTGTTTTGGCTTCGGTCTTTCAATTTCCTGTCTCTCCCCATTGGGACCGTCTTTTCTTCGGTACGACCGCCCAGTTTCTGCCTGCCCCATTTCGTATTATGGCTGCCACCTGCACTGTTATCCGGCGGACTCGGAGCGTCACGTCTGTATCTCCTCACCCCTCTCCACTGATGAAACCCGCCGCTCGCCCAGGGATCTCGCACCCAGACTTCGACGGGTCCAGAGCTACTCCCTTCTCCACGTGGCATTAAAGGTACCTCCCATCCTGCCATGCCCGGTTCCCCGCCCCGTCTTCCACGCCCACCGAAATTGTTCCACCACATCCTGCCAGAGTATGTAACTGAAGGAGCCCCCATATCCCCCGTGCCAAAAGACGATCCCATGTTCACATATGCATCGGCATTAGACCTCCCCCTAGAGCCATCCGCCATAGTCATATCCCCTCCAGAGCCAAAGGATCCAGCCATCGGTCTATCTCCCTGCCAACTAGAACCAGGCTGGTCTGGGGTGTAATCATGACCAGTTTGGTCTCCGTTCCACTGCCCAATCGAGTCACCTGGTGTTCCGGGATGAGATCCACGTGTTCCTGTCCCACGCTTCGTGCCTTGCCCAGCATGTACTCTGTCTGCGGGTACAGTACCATATCGGTACGTGTCACCGGGACACGTTCCATCCACGTCACATCTGCCTGTTGTAGGGTTGTATTTTTTCAAGTAGGGGCAATGGCGGGGGACAAATTCCACCTCTCCTGCCGTGTAGGAGTCAGGACACGCGGCACGCATGCGCGGACGGGGCGATGCCTGGTGATAAAATGACCCCATGGCGTCAGGATGTCTGTTATTGCCCGAGCCTGATGCCGTTGGCCAGCCGTTTGAGTACATATCGATCGTGTTCCCCGTGCGTATAGGTGCGGGCATTTTCCGCACGCATTCCCAGTACATACAGCTAGAGTTGGGATGAGGACCAACATTACCGACATCTTCTAGAACGGCACATCTAGGTCTTGCTGAAAGTAATAAATAATGATACAGAGTTGATGTTTGAAGGAGTTTGTATACTGCATACGACTGGCCTCCCAAAGTTGCTAATAAAACGCTATACGGTATTGGGCAGGACAAAGTCGTTTGTTACTGGAGCCTGTGGGGAAGAACTACCATGGTTCTTTTGCATTGCTTGATACCAAGTAATTCTTAGACTGTTTATAAAAGATTTCAGGAAAAAGCACATTCCATCAGGTGCATATCACAAAATTTTCTGTGCAATGCACAGAAGGTTACAACTATGATACAAATTCCGCTTGCTTTGCTAAAATTGATAAAAATTGGATAGCTGACTATTAAAAGTCTACTTTAAAATGTTAATATTAGAGCGTTTGACGAACAATTGATCCAGAAAAGACGCAGTCAGCATCCCTAACTGGCTATAGGTACTAAGAACTATCGCAGTACACACAACCACAATTACACCGCAGACGCTTAGATAGTCGAAAAATAGTCGAGGTTAATGGTATTAAAGATTCTTTGTGAATTACCAAATGGCTAAATTCTCAAGAGTCTTTGATAAGACCGACTTCAGACTTGAGCCACTTTGTGAAGCATACATCCTGGACACCAACCTGTGACCTTTTGCTCAAGGGTTGTTTCCTCCCCGCACGCATCCGTCACGTGCCACGTGCGCACGAAGGTCTGTCCTGTACATCGCCTTTCTGGGTAAATATCATGGTAAGGGGTGGTCTCTTTTAATACCACCTCATTTCCTGGAAATTAAATAGAAAATATAGATTTTGAAACAATTGAAACGAAGAGTAACAACATGGCGTAATCGACTTTTTTCGTCATCTCTTGTGTAAAGATGGCGACAAAGTCCATGACATCCTAGTGTCCAGTCCTTTGATGAAGGTTCAAAATGCCAAGGCTCATAGGTAAAATTACACGATCAGTCTCGTTAAAACGATTAATATAAATAATATTTATGTTTTTCACCAAAAATAAATATCTAGGCTTATATCTTATTCAGACTTGTTATCTTGAGTCGGGTTAATACGTTGCATCTTGCTATTAGAGGTAAATGTAGAATTTTTTCTTTTATGTCCCATTATTACAACTTTTAAAAAGTCAATATGAAAATGGCATATATTCTACAAACAAGAAGAGGTTTCCTTCAGACGATACCCGACTTCGTCGGAGAGGAAAAATGTCTTTGGTATGCCTATTCGACCATAAGTCAAGCCATTAGGATATTTACGCCACTTTGAGATCTTACCCGGGCAGGTGGAAATATTTGGGGTATTCAGGCCCAGGAATTCGCACGTGTAACCGCACTCATAGGTGGCGTTATCCATCACCTCCACAACTGTTTCCGAGTAGACCACAATGACCTGGGAGCTGGCGGCCACCTCTCCACACTCGTCCACGGCTGTCCAGCGACGCTCCACTGTGCCTAGAACACAATCAAATACTGTACATTCACCCATGTACTTGTACAATCGTGTGAAAACAGCGCACTCTACTCAGTATAAGTAGAAAATCGCTTTTTTCAAGAAGGTACTAAATCATAGCAAGAAATATGTTTTACACAAGAAATTTATGAGACAGAAGCATGTACCAAATTTTATTACTTATTCAGCTTCATACAATGTTTATGTCCAATTATTTACTGTGTTCGATTTTGCCTCATTAAAGTGCAATGGCCTCTTAATGTTGTCTGGCGCTGTTCTACCACTTGCTGCTAACTTGAAGATCATTTGTGTTTTAATATTTCAGAGAATGATACGCTAACAATGAGTATGACGGAAATTCAGATACAATATTGTAGTCTAAACAGAGTGTATATATCGATCAATGGAAATTGAACATACCTCTATTTGGACAGGAGAGATTCTTATAGTCTTTATAAACGATACTGAGGCCGTTCCCTGGACACCCAGCCGTGCCATTCGCCCAGCCAATCAGATGTGGCGTTAGTTTGTCCATTTCATAGCAAGAAACTGTTACGTCATCAGGGACGATAATTTCTGGCGCTATATTGTTGACTTTGATGTTCTGAACCGCTAAAGGAAAGGATTGGATATAAATAATGTGTTGTGTAAATAGTAACACAAACATATGTATACCTCGTGTATAAACAGAATATTAAATAATTTTTACTGTGCCCAGTACATTATTACCCCAGTAGCAGTGGTACTTTACTAAGTAAACAGAAATACAGATTATTCATCATCTTAATTAAAAGGGGAAACTACAACTGATCTGCAACGTTGTGTTTTTTTTAAACTATGTATACACATACAGCTCATTTACTTTAAAATACATCATTTAATGTATTAAATATGCTTAAAAATACAAGTGGGAGTTTATGTGACCGTTGTTACCCAAATAAAAACGTGCATCAATTAACAAGAATTTGATTTTAATTTTTTTCACTTTGTTAATATTCAATGTATTGATAACGCCAACGGGCATTAAACCCACAGGTCGATTCTTTGATGCTTGTTAGTCAAACAATTAAGATATTGTTAGTCAAACAATTTGGATATGGCGGTAGAGACTATTTGTTTTTTAATGGCCTTTTCAAAGCATACCAGCTTTGTCACAGTGGGCGTGTCCATAACACTTCTTTTGTGTAAAGCGCACCTGTTGTTGCACCCGTGATAACCTTATGTATTCAAGTGTACTCAACACATTTCGGCGATGCTGGAGGAAAGTATTGCGGTTATGATATTGACAATACTCAGTTAAAAATAAAAAAGGAGGAAAAAACTGAAAATACCTGGGGCATTCACCCACATTATCGCCAATGAGATAATCTGTTTCGTATTTTTGAAAAAGGATGAAACGACGTGTTTTCCGTGGGAATTTGAAAATGATGACTCTTCCCTATATCGACTTATGTCCTACATGTACACGCCATGCTGCTTTCATGCATTTGTTATCTCATTAGACTAGCTTTTCTTTCGGGTTTTCTTTTATTTCAAGTTATGCACAAAATGTGTCATGTTTCAATGTCACTTTGAGGATTCATGTTGATTCACCGTATAGATCTTGGTAATAAGAAGTATAAATATTTTGATGCATCTAGAAAGATCTACATAATTTAACAACTATTATGTAGATCTTTCTAGATGCATCAAAATATTTATACTTCTTATGTTTCAATGTCAACACGTATGGTCTATCATGCACCTAAGTTATCCCAGGATACAATGTACCTGGAGGATTTATCCACAAAAGAAAAACACCAGGGTGTAAATTACTATAGGAAAGAGTTCAAAATAAACGAATGGAAAAGAACGAACAAAAATAAACTTATATAAATGTACTACAAAAGATCCAGATTAAGAAAATCAAAATCGTGAATTTCACAGATAAATTTACGGTTACTAGTACGTGTATCTACCTGTATAGTAAGAAAAGACCCTACACATTACCAAAACCAGGGCTAACACTACAACGGTGATGTTTCTATTTTGCACAAAAAATAAATATGCAGTTGCCCCACCTGCACTTTTATCGCCATTGCTGTCAGTCACAGTCCAGTTCCTCTCAATTGTAAACGTTCCGGGGCAGATGAAATCACGTACGTTATTGCTATACGCCATGTCAACCGTCAAGCCACACTGTGACGCCCCCAGTGCACGCCCCGTGCGAGACGGGTCGATGATGTCTATACACAAGACGTCGGTGGTGTTGGGTGGGATTATCAGTGGAGGCTGGTCGCACCTGCCTGTCGCTGGGAGGGAGATACGATAAGATTATCCTTTAGAAATAATTGGCTTTTCTGTATGCATATTTTCAAAAGCGCAAAATAAGTTCCTATCAAGTGAAAACAATCAATAAACAAATAAAATAAAATAAAATAAAATAAAATAAAATAAAATAAAAATTTCGGTTAAAATTGTGTTTTTCTACATACATGCCAAACCATGCCTTAAAAGATTTAGCAAATGAAAGCAAAGACAATATGTCAAAGCTGGAAATGGCCCAGGCCCAAACGGACTGCGCTTCTGGGCAACTCATGAAAATAACCGACCCGCACTTTTAATCATAAATAAAATTCCAAGCTTCATTATCAAAAGAACATTTTTGTTCTAACTTTGATGAAAATGGCACAAACCTGGCATTTCACAGATATAAGGTCTCCTCATATTGATATCACAATCCCTCCATTTTCCCGCGCTGCCGGAAGAGGTGTCCAGACACAGTCCGTTCTGCGTGTGGTCTACGTCATCAGGTTGTCCTGGTAACCAAAAGTCCCCGGCTGTAGGAGTCAACTCGGCTGTATCCACCCATCGAAAGTCTCCCTCCTTCCAACCGTCAGAGGCGCCAATGAAGACCGCATTAATGACGGCACCGTTAGAGTCGGTCTTGCCAGAGACTGAAATACAGATATATCGACAAGTATATCTTGTATTTAAAAAAAAGTATCGCGATTTATTATCGAATGTGTAAGATCAAATGAAATTTTCACTATTTTTTTTAGCTCACTTGTTTTTCATTAAATGTGTAAAATGATTAACACGAAATCATGCTTCAAAAGTATTCCGTCTTTATATAGTCTTTTCCATTAAATTTAAAGATATAACACCAATACAATGAAGCAATAACCCAGATGCCACTGAAAGCAGGCAATTATGTCGGATATAATTCCCTGCTGAAACTGAAGCTATTTAAATACCGTATGACGGCAACTTAATATAAAATTAACCGAAAAGTCGAAGGTGAGCCTATAGGCTGCAGGGCCTACCCCAGATTCGGAGATTTCCTTTCTCCCAATTAAACAAATCAATAACTAAGTAGATATATATAAATTAGTCAAACGGTATAAAGAGCAAAACAAAGACGTGCTGGTCCATTTTGGCTCAGGTCAATTGTTACGCCGATATTCTATAAGTATTTCGCAAAAAAATGAATAAATTTAGTAAAATTTTAAATTAGAAATAATTCTGTTTCAAGCAATAGGAAAGCCTACCAGTGAGTGACACGAAGTTCTCCAGAAAATCTTGTTCATCTTGAAACCCCACTGTGACAAGGTGGCCATTTTTATCCACACAGTCCTGCTGTGCCTCTGACCACGTTTTTGACATGTTGACAAATATGTAACACTGGTCAAGGTGCAAGACACCGGTATCACATCCTGAAACAAACAAACACACAAACAAATAATTTGTATACGTAATTAATTTACCAGCAGTAGGCCTACCATCAGAGATTTAAATAGAACAGTAAGTTTTAACTCTAAGGAAAAAAACACAAATATTGAATCATTTCATAAATGCTTTACACATTTTTGAGAAGTTGGAGATTTTCAACTTTGGGGATCTATCTGTCAAACTTACTTAGCTCTGCGCGTGCTTCCAAAGCACCTGGAATATGAAAACGAAATTCACTTAATATTTACTTAGTCATACTTATAAATGTTGATTCAAAGCCTTTGGAATGTCAATTGTCAGAAATTACACACATTTGTTAAATGATAAATTTTGATAAGGTGGAATATTAGAGTAAGTGGGAAGTTTACAATATTCAAGTATATAATTGTTGTATATGAACTGACTCCCACACAAGACACATAAAAGTATTACTGTGACAAAATACTATGCACATGCACAAATAAAACAATGACCAAGTGAAACAGTTAAATCAATAAATGTATGTGTATATACAAGAGGAATGAGCTGGAAATAACGGTAAAATGTATATTTTTTGCTATCTGAAATATGCGGAGACTGATAATCGGCGTTTAAACATAAACTGTGAATGAGTTTATTCTAAAAACCAACAGTACATCTTTTTTATTACTTCTATATTCTCTGAATACATTCTAGTGTGTCTATACGAGTATTTAAGTATGTCATGTAAAACGATTATGCAATTCCCTAAATATTTTAGATTTTACAAATACGTAGATAATATACAAACCAAACCATGCTAAAATTTGCACAATATTTTTTATGAACCAATAATCATTGAAATTAAGAAATAACAATCGTTTATGCTTATTTGATACTATCAGAGCACCTTTTAACCACATGTTATCATTTGCACGATTTGTTACCTACTTATCATTTTCGTCAATCAATTTTACTAAAACAAACTATCTAACATATCAGTCCGTACTTACATAATATTATGGCGGCACCAATAAGCCAAGTCGCCCTCATATCGCAGACTTTCCCCTAGATCACCGAAGCCTGCAATTTCACCCAACAGTCCGTCAGGTGAAGGAATAACGGGCCTTATACGTCCCATGCTCTTCTGATGCGGTTGAAGGGGCGTGTCTGCCCCCACAGGTACTCCTAGGCCCTCGAGGGGACGATCGCAATCTTCTAAGATATCTACTTTCCCACGGTGTTGGGGACATTTCGTAAAACCACCGTGTAGGACGGTGTGGTTTCTCGCACCCTGTGTTCTGTTCGAATTATTTTCGTTACTCTGGTGCCTTGGCAATTTGATTATCTATAAAGAGAGGATGAATCGGTTGTAAGGACGTCATGTTGACGTGTTCGGTACTTTAGGGTTCCATTGAGGGGGGAGGGGCGAAGTGCTCACAGTTCACTGGAAATGAAGGTAACGATTCACAAATCACAATAAATAAAACATAATTCATATTTCACTGAAAATGCGAGGAATAAGAGTTGTACATCACGAAGAAGAATAATGACTTTGTTTCACGGATGACGAAGAATAAAAAGTTGTATTCATGAGTCACGGTAATGGGGTTTTTCATGGATCATGCTCAATAATATTAGCGTTTTACGCATTTCGGAAAATAAAAAGTGACTTTCACGGGTAACGAAAATACCCAGTGGGACCCTCATAACTGTGGACGATAATTCCGAGCGCCACGTTTTCCCCTCTGGTTCTGTCTGCTCCCCAAGGAGGTGAGATCGTTTCAACATTGGTCAGATCGAAGAAGACCAAGGGTTATAAAAAGCTGCTCTTTACTTTTAAATCGCTTTAAATCGCACAACGGAACCTAAAATAGTCTTAATGACGTCACAGGCAGTCCAGAGCATATGGGATCCATCACTGCCCGCGTAGACTTTTAATTGTCATGTCTGGCGTCCACCAGTTTGTTTTCGGTCTAGTCTAGTTTGGGTCCGAGCACGTTTTACTTTGCCTTGATAAATAGGGAGTGGGGAGAAAGGCGATTTCCTATTTACAATTACCGATTTCACTCCTTCACATAACATTAAACACATCTAAATGTGTATAGAATTTACCCAAAAACATGTTTTATCAAGTCATCTGATACATTATTTCATCTGTATCGTTCAAAATATATGGAGACTCATGAACAGGGTTCTAAGTGGTGCAATTTTTCCACAACCATATTTGTTTGAAAATGGTGATGCATTTTTATTTCAACGCTTTTATCTTTAGCTGAAGAGGGAAACGTCGCAGGTGCGCGACGGGTTAGAGAATATTATGAAAAAAATTTGTTACTGAGGTTGAAGATAGTTATCATTTTAATTATGCATGTCACCATTATTCTGAATTCAGAAAAACAAAGAAATACTTATTGATGAGAATATCAATACGAGACCGTCATCGATCAAGGAAGACCCCCCCCCCCCCCCCCAACCAATACACAAGCATTCCCTTTGGTTCAAAATATATAAAGTGCAAGGACATCAATAAAGAGTTATGCTTTTAATGACGAGTTAGCGAAAAATGACATTTTGAGGTGTGGTTAACGGTCTTCAATATGTATCCTTTCAGACATTTTTAAAAAGATCTATAAACATAATAATAAATTTTGGAAATGGGTTAAAATGATATCGAGAAACAGCTAATAGACTAATATATAAAAAAACTCGTTTTCCGACCATGTGTACCGAACGTTCAGTAATACCACTAGCTTAGTGTAGAGGAGAGAGTGAGGGAGAACGGTGAATACGTCCCTTAAATAAGTCGTGATTCGGAGGAATACTCTGTCAGGGTGTGGAAGTGACATACATGTGGCAATTTAGCACTGAAATGTACTGTATTCTAAGAAAAAGAGCGAGAGAGAGAACGCGCTTCACGCAAGAGCACAACTGAATAAAATTCCTCATTCAAAAATAAAATAAATCACATGTTGAAAATGTATAAAATCGCACACATTCACACATTAACAGAACCTAACCCGTCTCACCAGGAGAATACTAGACTGTGCCTACCCAGAACATCCCTCTACGTACAGTTTTACTTTCACCCTGAAGATCTGTTTCTATATGTCTGCTTGATCGTATTAATACATTTAATTACTAACAGGCCTCAAAGGAGCATCTGCCTGATCTCATCCATGTTAACTTATGATAAAGAGATTCTTACGCGAGGGCGGACTGCTTATATCGTCCGTCATACAACTGGGAATCGGAAAGAAGTGTTTTATGAATGCGATGTCTGTCATGAAATTCCCATTGTGCGGTTGCTGACAAAATTAGCTGATGAAGACAATGGCGTGACAAGATATGCAGAGTCGAATGCGTTCGATCTAGTTTAAAAAAGAGAAAGGAAAGAAAAAAAGAAAAATTGCCACAATAGACCGCCTTAATGCAACAATTCTAGGAGGTGAACGTCTTTCGACACTATATATGTTTTTTCACATTAACAACATGTTGAAATACGAATACAGAAACACAGTTTAATGATGTAAAATTCCAATTGAAATTAATCTCTGATTGTCTTTTCTTTGACCCTTTTGGTATTTACTATATATAGCTTTTCTCTTAAAATTTATATTACCCCCTCGTTTCGTGAAAGTTTTGATTTCAAATTAAAAAATAAATAACCCCACCTTCATCTGTGGCATGATTTCGAATTCGTAGCTTTGGCAATGTGAAACAGTGCAAGATGTTCCTTATTGCCAATGTACACCACTAAAAAAATGATCAAAATTAAAAGTCTAAATAAAAACTTTACTTGCGGTCACGAAAAATAAATTGTCCGAACATTTACTTTTATATCGTCATGTAAAACAGTAAATAAAAACGGCTCTTTAGACTCCAAGGCCCTTTGTGTCGATGTAAGAAGTTTTTTTCCATGTTTACCCAAGGAATAGATTCATCTTTTAGAGGCCAATATTATTATACAGAAAACATAAATTTTACCGGAATGTGTGCATACGTACGTATGTGTCTTTGACAGAACAAGTGTCACATGCACGTATATATTCTTGATACGTCAATGGAACATGCTGGTGTCAATGCGGTATATCTGATAGAAATTGGCTAGAGCTAATCGGAAACAGATAACCTGTTTACTGCAAAGTACAACTCTTAATCATTTCCTTACCTGATGGCGAGTGGAATGAGTTAGCATGCATGTCATCGTGGGTTGTCATTGGCCAATAGCAAGTCTACGTGGAGTTGTGGGTGGCAACACACCTGTAAATTAACCTCCAATTGACTTCCATGTCGACTCATCTACAAGTTCCTGGTATATCTAGAACCGCGCTTTCTTTAGAACCACATAAGACGGTTTTCGCAAGCACGAGTCAAGTCACTTGGAGTAGAACTGGAAGCAATACTTGGATAGAAAAAAAAAACAGGAGCACCATTTCACTAATCGAAGATGCCACGTGGGGTGACGTGTACCGTAAGTGTTATACAACTTTGGTAAAACTTTGAGACAACACTTTGATGAAACCTTCCATTCATACCGTCGGGCGCTGCTCTTTTTTACTCGACAAAGGAAAGAAAATTTTCATATTTTTTCGTCAAACAACGCAAGTGATTAAGGTACCATATTGCACTTGTTGAAGGACTGCAGTAAGCGGCCTTACTACGGCTCTCCTTCCGTCGTTTACCAATTCATTAGTGCAGGAAAATTGTCACGCCAAGAGCTGACAACATCGACTTCCTTTCTCTTTTTCGAAGGTTCTCTTGAGAAGCGTGGTGGTCGAAATAGAAGTATTGAATTGAATACATGTCCACTAAGACATTGATAAGACTGTGTATCCTGATAGAACGATTCCATCGACTGTCGTGCAATGCGGAAGAAACCGGACTCCAATTAACTAATTTACACAATTCATCAGCACGAATGCAGTTCCACATACACGTGGTGTACAGAACCCAAAAGAAACTCCACTAAATTATAAATTGCGAAAATTCCATGTGATTATACGCACCATATCAGAGATAAGCAGAGAAGATATATATATATATATAGTTTACACGGGAGACTGGCCATTGAGACTCAAATACCACTGAGACACGTCTTCCTCGCGCATCTGTTATCACGTATCACAAATTCTTGACGAGGCCACGCTATGGCAATATAAATCTAATCACGGTATCTCCTATTCATTTTGCGTCCTCGGAGAAACTAGATTAACTCATCCTCTTTGGAAGTCTGTCATCTCTACAACTCTCCAGCGTGAAGATTCTTGGTGATTAATTCCAGTTAATCGGTCCACCTGCTTCACGACACGGGTTTTACATTTCCCCACAGACGCTTTAAATGCATCATCTTGTAGAAAGTTGAAACTGATAAGTGTTCGTTAACCACAGAGGAGCGATTACCTTCTCGTCTAACGGTAATTGAAAAGCCCGAAGGAAGTGACTGAAGACTTCATCTTCGCTTTCTTTTGGAACTCGTTACGATGGGATTACTCACGTATGCGTTGTTATTTAGCATGGTCTTGGCACTTTTGGAGGGAGGCAAACATAACGGTAGCTTAAATAAACACATGTTCTGCATCTCAAGGTGCCAGCAAGGCATTGGGGGGAACTTATGCAACTGTTCCGGTGCACACTTTCCTGGAAAACGGACACCGTTCCAATCAGTGAACAAACAGGTCACCGAGAGACTTCGGAACGAGCAAATTGGTTCAAACCCGAGCGGTTGGCACAGAGTATCCAAAAAGTTCCAGATTTCAAGAGATTTTCAAACCTGGGTTTCCAATCTCAAATTTCCGACCAGAGAGGCGTCATTCCAAATTTATCTAAAGCCAGTTGCTTCTAGTGCTAGTTCTGAAGGTAGGGATATATTGCAAGGCTTTATGCCATCTCTTCTCAATTGGCGCAAGCGTAGTAGAAAAAGGGCAAAACTGCCATCCGGTATATGCTGTGTAAACGGAGCGGCAAACAGCCAACTAGAAATTATCTCTAAACAGATGCTTCTGGAGAACATAATCCGTACAATGAGAAACTGGAGGAGAAGAGACAGCCAGGGCGATACACGTTCACAATTAGCATCCAGATTCAATCAACGACAATTGACCATTTGATAGTGGAACTAACTTAAAATATTGGCATCATCTTTATGTAGCTCTAATTGTTATTCTACAAGCAGATTGGAACAATAATTTTGTAATTGTATAGCTACGTTTTTTGTTGTTTTATTTTTCGAAATAGAGCTTTTCGATTACACTTTCTTTAAGGGAATGACGCCTATAGAGATAACGTAATCCACCGTGGTTGAGATAAAAAAAAAACTTTTCCATGCTTAATAGACTTGGTCTGCGCATGTCTAGGTTAAGACGTAATAAACTCCACTTACCAAAGATGAACCCATTTCGTTGTGAATCGTCTATTATTATCAATGGTTTGCTTATTCGGTTAGACAAAAAAATATTTGGTTAACAAGCACGGCCGATTCTAGTTTTAAGGAAATCGGAATTTTTCGAACTGAAAAAATGGGTATTGGTTTTTAAAAACAATGACCAGACGAAAAAACTGCTTTGTGCTTAAAAATAGCTTACACTGTGGATATTTTATACCAAACCCAAGAAAAAGACACCTTAAGATTTAGGCGCTAAGCCCGTTAAGCATCAGACATTTAAAAGACAAAAGAAAAAAATGATATCCAACCCTGCTCACAAGAAAGTCTCCGTTTCGTTGTCAAGATTATCTATTTTGTCTGGCCTTAAGCTTATCTTTTTTCATAAGAAAAAATAAAATTACAGATGCATACCGCAGATAGCGATTTGGCGGTAAAATCAACTAGGTATTTGGTACTGGTACACATAATTCGGATCAGTTTGATAAATAAGCGACACGTGTCTCATAAATTAATTTTGAATCAATCTTCGTGCTGTCAAATATACACTTATTTGATTTGTTTTGAATTTGGCTCTTGAGATACTAACAAAAATAATAAACTAATAAATTTTCATTAAGAAAGCTTCTTTCATCAGTAAAAGTGGCAGATGTAATAGATATACAAAGGATGTTCACAATCTTTTTATAAGCTCCTGTGTAATGCATGACAGTACTTTTATACAACCAATCGTCGATCGATCATTAAATCAATCATCGGAATATCGCCTGTGATTTCAAAGTTGATGATGATCGTTTCGCGGGCTGATTTTCTCTGTAATGTTTGTATACCATGGTTTCCCTTTAGGGACGTATCGTCACGTTGTCTTAAATATGAAAAAATGATCATTTTCACTGCCTTTTAAAAAATAATATAAATAGGTACCAGTCGACCTCGTAGAATTGAAATTCATATTTGTTCATCTCGCCCTAAAATATGGAAGAAATCCAAAACGCACCTAGTAAGACTAGTAGCAAGGCAAAGTTTAACGTGATAAAAATATTGGAAGAAGACCCAAGTTTTTATTAACTGTCATTAGAAGTCTATTCATATCATTGCATTATAAAAAGAATGTTGCATGTTTGTCTGAAATCCGAGCCGATTGGAGACGAGGGCGTAAGCCGATCCCTCCACGGGACGCAGGGATCAATTCCCGCCACTCCTCCTCGTCCTCCAACAGCGTTTGCATCTCGTCATCGCCACTCGTCTAGATCTCTTGACTCGACTTCATTGAAAATAGACGGGTTACACAAGACGCAAGTAACAATATTACAGCACGTGAACAAACCATCTAAAATCTGGAAAATTGAATTTTGCCGTTTCAAGGAACTGTCACAAATATGCCAAAAAGCGTGGCCGGTGAAGCTATAATGGGCTATTTTGATTGTTTTTAACTAATGTTCAGTATAAGTTGATTCAATTAGCACTGAAAATCTGAGAATAATATGAAGGCGACCGAAGGGCATCTTTGTACAAGCACAATACTTTAATCACCTTCGCCTACCTACGCTTAACGAGGAGCATTGGAGGAGCAATTAAAAAACACTTCGCCGCCTTAAGGTGCATTTTATTAGGAAGTGAACCGGTTTAACAAGGACATAAAAATAGGAGAAGTTTTTCTTCAACAATCAGGTGTCGATCTAATCATGTATTGAATGGGAAACAACGATTTTTTTTGTCCCCGGTGACCCCTGACGACGGTAATGGCAGGGCAGCAAATCTTTTGTCTCAAACTGAGTATTTTCGGAGAATCACACCCGTGATTAAAACCCTGAGACCTTTAATTTAAGATAAAATCTCCCACTTGCAGTCCTACATTAAACCCCCTTTACATGGGACGGCGTCGTTTCTGCGTCATTCGTGCCCCCATGAAACTGGCATCACTGTGATCGTAGAAAGGAGGCACAAGTATCGCTTTGGTTGCAAAACGAATGCTCAGTGATCGCGGCATCCAAAGACGTTCAAATTAACCTTATCAATCGACTAACGAATCCACTGTGCAAACGGAACCGGTTTGGCGTTTGAAACAGGGAGGATATGCATATATACCTTTCAAAACACATCTGAGTTTTGTTGTGCGAAATCTATAATATCCACCATAAATATTACGTGGGACCATGAGGTAATGTGTGAGGCAGCTCCTTAAAATTCTTTAAGCACCTTACATCGATATAAGTACATTTTTCAAATGATACGTACCGGGTTTACATAACGAAAAAAATATGGAAAGCGCCCCAAGAACCATGCAGTTTCATGAAATACATCACAGGGCTGAACTTGAGAACCAAGAACATTCAGTCTAATAAATATTCGCAAAAATAAGACGCCTGCGCAAATTGATACATAATCAATTACATATTTTATTAGCATTTTAATTGACACAGTGTATAACATATAGCATATTACAACATGACTAACAAATTTACCAAAAAGACTGGGAACATATTCTGCCACGAAATAATCTCGATCAAACAGAAAACCTACGTGAATCTTTACTATTAAGCAGTTCTAAACACTTAAAACATTTGCGAGGTAACGCATTACTGGCGGTAAATACTTATTGCACGAGCATTACGTAAATTTATCTGAGCAAAGGAAGTTGCCGCTGGAATAATATAGACTACATATGGTATTATGCACAAATAAAATTTTCAACTGAAAAAGCATGCGGAGAACTGAAGACCTCCATCAAGGGCGCTCAATTTTCATTCTTATAAATGAAGTAATTACTTAATGTATCACTACCAATATCTTGTCATTTGATTCTGGTCTCCTCCAGACAATTTCTGAAAATTGCCTCAAAATCCGCCCACAAACTTATTTACTTATTTATTAATTTTGCGAAATGCTTCTAACAGAAAATCAACCGAAAACAACCTCCCTGATGAAGGTAATAACAGATACCAAGCGTGGCGTACAAGTTCAATCATTGGCATATCTCAACTGTCCAACAATAACTTGGTGTGAGCAGTGGACGTGAGAAATATGTCATATATGCTAGCCTACACTGTACTTAAAAAACGATCGTTGGGGTTATTACTTCTGCATTAAGACCAAAGCTGTCACATTTCCTCAACCAAGTTCCATCAGAAAACAACATCATATGTTACATAAAGCTTCTTACGTAGGTGAAGGACAGAGAAGGTGAGCGTCCAAACCGGAACCGGAAACGACCCAGTGTATTTTTTAGCTACATCCCCATAATACAACTATACTGATGCAGTTCTCTTAATCTACGCGAGCTTTCATTATGAATAATTCTATGCAAGATAATGTATATTTATATAACTAAAAAAGAAACAAATACAACACAGGTAATTGTAAATATTAACATGCATACTGAGTACGTGTACCAGGGGTGCTGTATATGTTTTAAAATTAAAATGTTTCCCTGAAGACGATCTTAAAAAGAATTCCTAAAGTCATATTAAAACTACCTATAAAACTGAAAACTACCATTAATATCATTACCTGTGCACGGTTTAGTATGCACATATATATAAGCTTCAAATTTTTAAGTTTCAAATTCCAAATATTGAACAATTTTGACATGAAGATGACCAATAACTCATGGATTTCACTCATGACAGCGAAAACTATGAAGAGATAAAAAATTAGACATATATGAATAGAGTATACTAGTATAGTGGGATACATGTACCTTGGTGATAGAGAGAAAAATGCTGAAGTTTTTTGGATTATTATTTTTCTTTTTTCTTCCTTTTTTCTATTTGAATGTCCAAGGTGCATTCTGGGCTTCTCAGGGCATAGACCCGTCACATGTGCATGTTTCTTGCCTTGGAATGTAGCAGTTCAGCATTCACAGCATTCTTAACAGTAGAGCTGTATACAGGTAATAAGAGGTGGAGAACAATGCTTGGGGGCATCTCTTGACGGCACACAATACATTCAATACACACAAGCAGGATATGTGTACCACCTGTTGTACTCAGATATATATTGATTGAAGAATAAGTAAGCCACATCTGATGGTTTGGGAGAAACGAAAAGTTACATTTTGTGAATTTTCAGCACAAATTTCTCTTTAAAATCTCTTGGAGAGGGGCAAGTGCGCTACCATTGCCCATCCCCAGTTGGTGTACTGGTTTAACATTAAATGCTACTCTTTGGCAGAGGTGAGGCTGTCAACTTCATCCATGTCTTCCTCCAGGTCATAATCATCTGGAACAGTGCGACCTGAAAATGGGAAATGTACTTGTTAATTGCGGCTGTTGTAGAACAGGAAATATCAATATGTCAGTAACAATATAGCTAGTGTCTGGAGAATGACATAATAACATAATGACTTATTATAACTTATTGGTCAGGTAAATGGGTGCCTGGTTGCAATACCAGCAATACTCAGGCTGTACTAATAGAAATGTACTTCGATCAGTGCTGACCACCCACTCCTGATAATTATATGATATGAAGAGAGATTTGCTGTATTCTTACTCCTCTCTTATTTTCCACTATCATAATAAGGAAAATTGGGACAATAGATTTTCACTGATTTTATGGACAAGCTTTTTTTTAAAGATTCTTTATACCTGGACAATATGTATGTCCCTCCAGTGCAGCCTGCCTCCGACTGTTCATGCTCTGAACGGCTTCCCCTTCATACATCTCCAACTATAACAAAAATAAAGGTTATAGTTTTAATCCTAAATAAACAAAACCAGTCAGCTCTAGAATATCTACCCAATCCTTGTGAATCTGTTCAACTGATGAAATCTCCCTGAGGAGTATAAGGGACCGTTCACATGGAAAGTCTATTTTCTAAAAATCTATTTTCTATTTGCGGTATCTTGTAATCACGGTTCGTGCCCTGAATACCCCGCGGCGTAATTACTGTGCCAAGGACTGCACACTAATCAATTGTGGTAGTTGAGAGCACACACATTCACTGCACAACAGGTCAAGGTGATTGAAGTATTTCTTAGTACCAGATGGGTAATCCAAATCATAAATCGCCAACAAAATCTTATCACTTTTATGTCAGCCCATTTCTGAGCTATCCTGAAAAATCCCTCAATAACTTTTGGAGTTAGGCTGGTGACAAACAAACAAATGAAAGTGAATATATCACCTCCTTGGCAAAGGTAAAAATGGAGTGCATTTTAGATAACTCAGATGTTTAAAAAAACATAGAAAATTTTTTTCCAGAACGCAGAACTCTTACCTGTCTCCGTAGAAGTTGAAGCTCTGTTTCTAAGTCAAAAATCTTTCCCTGAGCCCTCTCTCGGTCTCTTCTCTCGGCTTCAAAATCTTCAGTACAGAGCAAGATCTGTTGTTTGAGAGCCTCCACAACGTCTTTGTCTCCACCTTGGCGTTCACGTAACTGTGCCTCCAACTGGCGTATCCTCTGTTCCTTCTGCTCACAAAGTTGCTTGAATTTTCTCAGGTCATCTTCTAGCTATAAATGCATATAGTAAATATATTCAAAAACATGAATAGATTGTTAAATAAGTTGATTATAAATTACCTTATTA